TCTGTATCTCTCTCTTGTTAGTGATGTTGTGGGAGCTCAGCGTCACAGAATCCAATCTCAATACTTTCTGTTTCACAATATCTTAAGAATCACAATAACGTTGAAATGTGACCCAGATATCGCGATACTATGTGGCCCAGATATCGCGATACCATGTGGCCCAGATATTGTGATACTATGTGGCCCAGATATCGCGATACCATGTGGCCCAGATATTGTGATACTATGTGGCCCAGATATCGCGATACCATGTGGCCCAGATGTCGCGATACTAAGTGGCCCAGATATCGCGATACCATGTGGCCCAGATATTGTGATACTATGTGGCCCAGATATCACGATACTATGTGACCCAGACATTGTGATACCATGTGACCCAGATTTTGCGATACTGTGGCCCAGAAATCGCGATACTATGTGGAAAGGTATCGCGATTCTATGTGGACAAGATATCGCGATTCTATGTGGACAAGATATTGCGATACTATGTGGACAAGTTATTGCGATACTATGTGGACAAGATATTGCGATACTATGTGACCCAGATATTGCAATATCATGTGGCCCCGATATTGCGATACCATGTGGCCCAGATATCGTGATACTATGTGACCCAGACATCGTGATACTGAAATGTAAAGTGCATTATAAATAAAATGTATTATTATTATTATTATTATTATTATACCATGTGACCCAGATTTTGCGATACTGTGGCCCAGAAATCGCGATACTATGTGGACAAGATATCGCGATACTATGTGACCCAGATGTTGCGATACTATGTGACCCAGATGTTGCGATACTATGTGACCCAGATGTTGCGATACTATGTGACCCAGATGTTGCGATACTATGTGACCCAGATGTTGCGATACTATGTGACCCAGATGTTGCGATACTATGTGACCCAGATGTTGCGATACTATGTGACCCAGATGTTGCGATACTATGTGACCCAGATGTTGCGATACTATGTGACCCAGATGTTGCGATACTATGTGACCCAGATGTTGCGATACTATGTGACCCAGATGTCGCGATACTATGTGACCCAGATATCGCGATACTATGTGACCCAGATATTGCGATACTATGTGACCCAGATATTGCGATACTATGTGACCCAGATATCGCGATACTATGTGACCCAGATGTCGCGATACTATGTGACCCAGATGTTGCGATACTATGTGACCCAGATGTTGCGATACTATGTGACCCAGATGTTGCGATACTATGTGACCCAGATATCGCGATACTATGTGACCCAGATATCGCGATACTATGTGACCCAGATATCGCGATACTATGTGACCCAGATATCGCGATACTATGTGACCCAGATATCGCGATACTATGTGACCCAGATATCGCGATACTATGTGACCCAGATATCGCGATACTATGTGACCCAGATATCGCGATACTATGTGACCCAGATATCGCGATACTATGTGACCCAGATATCGCGATACTATGTGACCCAGATATCGCGATACTATGTGACCCAGATATCGCGATACTATGTGACCCAGATATCGCGATACTATGTGACCCAGATATCGCGATACTATGTGACCCAGATATCGCGATACTATGTGACCCAGATATCGCGATACTATGTGACCCAGATATCGCGATACTATGTGACCCAGATGTCGCGATACTATGTGACCCAGATGTCGCGATACTATGTGACCCAGATGTCGCGATACTATGTGACCCAGATGTTGCGATACTATGTGACCCAGATATTGCGACACTATTGGTGCTTTCAGACCGGATCATGCTGCGTTGGGTTTCAGTGCAAAGTCTACGGTGGCGCACGTTCGACCGTCACAACGCACAGACCTCTCGGCACGAACGGACTGTTCAATAATGACGCACGGATTTGGCCGGAAAGTGAAAAAGGAGGAGCAGGAGCGAAAAATGAACGCCCACAGGAGATGGATTCTGCTCATCCTTTCCTTGGGACGTTCGTGCGACAACCAATCAGAGAGCAGCAAAGTGGTCACGGGGACATTAGCGGACTGAGCGAGCAGACTGAAAATACTGTAAACAGCCAAAACAGGACCCACACCAGACTTCACCAGAACTCAAACCAGGGCTGACAATGGGGGACTCTGTGCTTGTGAAAATATGTGTTGTCATGCTCCTGTGACTTTATGCAACTGCTTTGAGTGTGTTCACCGATGCGGAAATTCCGTTTAATAATATGAAAACACGTATGACGCACCTCCGTGAACACATACTACTGTTATATAAAGTCACCTCCGTGAACACATACTACTGTTATATAAAGTCACCTCCGTGAACACATACTACTGTTATATAAAGTCACCTCCGTGAACACATACTGCTGTTATATAAAGTCACCTCCGTGAACACATACTACTGTTATATAAAGTCACCTCCGTGAACACATACTGCTGTTTATATAAAGTCACCTCCGTGAACACATACTACTGTTATATAAAGTCACCTCCGTGAACACATACTGCTGTTATATAAAGTCACCTCCGTGAACACATACTGCTGTTATATAAAGTCACCTCCGTGAACACATACTGCTGTTATATAAAGTCACCTCCGTGAACACATACTACTGTTATATAAAGTCACCTCCGTGAACACATACTGCTGTTATATAAAGTCACCTCCGTGAACACATACTGCTGTTATATAAAGTCACCTCCGTGAACACATACTGCTGTTATATAAAGTCACCTCCGTGAACACATACTACTGTTATATAAAGTCACCTCCGTGAACACATACTGCTGTTATATAAAGTCACCTCCGTGAACACATACTGCTGTTATATAAAGTCACCTCCGTGAACACATACTGCTGTTATATAAAGTCACCTCCGTGAACACATACTGCTGTTATATAAAGTCACCTCCGTGAACACATACTGCTGTTATATAAAGTCACCATGAACACATACTACTGTTATATAAAGTCCGTGGAATGTCTGTGAGCAAAGACACGCCGCAAAGCTGCATATTGGAGAAGATCTGTGCACAAGAAGCCGCTAGCATAGCTCTGTTAGCATCAGAGCCGGCTACTTCCGGTACTTCCGGCGCTGGTCGGGACGTTCTGGTGTGAAGTCCTCTGCGTCTGAAAACTAGAGAACGCACGTCTGGTAAGCGGGGCTTCAGCGTTTCAGCGTTGGCGTTCTGAAAGCCCCTAATGTCACCCAGATGTTGCGATACTATGTGACCCAGATATTGCGATACTATGTGACCCAGATATTGCGATACTATGTGGCCCAGATATTGTGATACTATGTGACCCAGATATTGCGATACTATGTGGCCCAGATATTGTGATACTATGTGACCCAGATATTACGATACTATGTGACCCAGATATTGTGATACTATGTGACCCAGATATTACGATACTATGTGGCCCAGATATTGTGATACTATGTGACCCAGATATTGCGATACTATGTGGCCCAGAAATCGCGATACTATGTGGCCCAGATATTACGATACTATGTGGCCCAGATATTGCGATACTATGTGGCCCAGATATCACGATACTATGTGGCCCAGATATCACGATACTATGTGGCCCAGATATCACGATACTATGGAGTCCTCACATTCTTCACATTCCCCACATTCCTGAGTCTGATTGTTGTGTTGCAGCCTCCGCTTCTTGAAGACTGTAAGCTGTTTGAGACTCTTTTCGAGGGGGAGATGGCGGACCAGGCGCGTGAGGAGTGGGAGAAGGCCATGACGGAGCTGGCCCAGCAGGAGCCCGAGCTGCTGCAGCACTTCAACAAACTCTCTGAGGCCGCGGGGAAAGTCGGTCAGTGCTCACTCTGGAAGAAAGGACCAAGTCTGGGACCGAGTCTGGGACCGAGTCTTAAGTTCAGACAGAACCATGTTTTATTATCGATGGTAGAGACACAACACACGTTACAGACCACGAGCTTCAACCCTGAGAAAACCAAAAAATGCAGTGGAAAAATACTGCCTCGGACATATGTTGGAATGAGTTTAACTTTAACCACAACTGCTACAAAGTGTCATGAAATATCTAAACTACACCAAACTGTACCAAACTGTACCAAACTGTACCAAACTGTACCAAACTGTACCAAACTACACCAAACTGTACCAAACTGTACTAAACTGTACTAAACTGTACCAAACTACACCAAACTGTACCAAACTGTACCAAACTGTACCAAACTACACCAAACTGTACCAAACTGTACTAAACTGTACTAAACTGTACCAAACTACACCAAACTGTACCAAACTGTACCAAACTGTACCAAACTGTACCAAACTGTACCAAACTGTACCAAACTGTACCTGTCTGTCATTGTCAAACACCACATTATATCCATAGCCGATGTTGACTCCAGATTAGACGTGTGTTCACACTAAAGGGCACAAAAGTGTGAAAAAAGGCCAAAAGTTAGATGTTTTTGATCAGTAGAAATATGTTTTTCCTGTTTTCAAATCCTGTGAAGAACAAAACGTTTTTTTATTTTAGTCACGTTTCCAAAAGCAGCGGAAGTTTGTTCATATTTTCAGGGTTGATGAGGTCAAAAACAATATTAACAAAAGGAAATCCCTTCTATTCTCTCAGCCCCGACCTAAACACCTCTGCCACAGTCTCTGAGTCTCGGCCTGGGTCTCGGCCTGGGTCTCGGCCTGGGTCTCGGCCTGGGTCTCGGCCTGGGTCTCGGACTGGGTCTCGGCCTGGGTCTCGGCCTGGGTCTCGGCCTGGGTCTCGGCCTGGGTCTCGGCCTGGGTCTCGGCCTGGGTCTCGGTCTGAGTCTCAGTCTCAGTCTCGGTCTGAGTCTCAGTCTCGGTCTGAGTCACAGTCTCAGTCCCGGTCTGAGTCTCAGTCCAGTCTCCATGTTTCAGGCACAGACTCGGCCTCGCAGCAGGAGTTCACCTCATGTCTCAAAGATACTCTCAAAGGACTGGCCAAGAACGCAGACAACCTCCAGGTGGGTCTCTCTCCTCCTCTGGTCTCTCTCCTCCTCTGGTCTCTCTCATCCTTTGGTCTCTCTGGTCCTCTGGTCTCCTCCTCTGGTCTCTCTCCTCCTCTGGTCTCTCTCCTCCTCTGGTCTCTCTCCTCCTCTGGTCTCTCTCATCCTCTGGTCTCTCTCATCCTCTGGTCTCTCTCATCCTCTGGTCTCTCTCATCCTCTGGTCTCTCTCCTCCTCTGGTCTCTCTCCTCCTCTGGTCTCTCTCCTCCTCTGGTCTCTCTGGTCCTCTGGTCTCTCTCCTCCTCTGGTCTCTCTGGTCTCTCTCCTCCTCTGGTCTCTCTCCTCCTCTGGTCTCTCTCCTCCTCTGGTCTCTCTGGTCTCTCTCCTCCTCTGGTCTCTCTCCTCCTCTGGTCTCTCTCCTCCTCTGGTCTCTCTCCTCCTCTGGTCTCTCTCCTCCTCTGGTCTCTCTCCTCCTCTGGTCCCTCTCCTCCTCTGGTCTCTCTCCTCCTCTGGTCTCTCTCCTCCTCTGGTCTCTCTCCTCCTCTGGTCTCTCTCCTCCTCTGGTCTCTCTCCTCCTCTGGTCTCTCTCATCCTCTGGTCTCTCTCCTCCTCTGGTCTCTCTCCTCCTCTGGTCTCTCTGATCCTCTGGTCTCTGGACCATGTGTGCAGACTTCTGGTTTGGCCGGGGAGGACCTGGTGAAGACTCTGGAGGGCCTGGCGATGGAGGACGGAGGAGACGGAGAAGACGCCAACATTTTACCCATAATGCAATCATTCATGCAGAACCTGCTGTCCAAGGAAGTGCTGTACCCATCGCTCAAAGAAATCACCACCAAGGTACGGCTGTAGCACAGGTACAGAGGTACGGCTGTAGCACAGGTACAGAGGTACGGCTGTAGCACAGGTACAGAGGTACGGCTGTAGCACAGGTACAGAGGTACGGCTGTAGCACAGGTACAGAGGTACGGCTGTAGCACAGGTACAGAGGTACGGCTGTAGCACAGGTACAGAGGTACGGCTGTAGCACAGGTACAGAGGTACGGCTGTAGCACAGGTACAGAGGTACGGCAGTAGCACAGGTACAGTTGTAGCACAGGTACAGAGGCACGGCTGTAGCACAGGTACAGAGGTACGGCTGTAACAGAGGTACGGCTGTAGCACAGGTACAAAGGTACGGCTGTAGCACAGGTACAAAGGTACGGCAGTAGCACAGGTACAGCTGTAGCACAGGTACAGAGGTGCAGCTGTAGCACAGGTACAGAGGTACGGCTGTAGCACAGGTACAGAGGTGCGGCTGTAGCACAGGTACAGAGGTACGGCTGCCTAGTAACTAGTGATGATGATGCCCTCTGCTGTAAATTCACGGTGAACAACATGAAAAACTACTGCTGCAAACACAAACCTGTGTGTGTGTCTAACAGTTGTGTGTCTCTACAGTACCCTGAGTGGTTGTGTGTCTAACAGTTGTGTGTCTCTACAGTACCCTGAGTGGTTGTGTGTCTAACAGTTGTGTGTCTCTACAGTACCCTGAGTGGTTGTGTGTCTGTTGTGTGTCTCTACAGTACCCTGAGTGGTTGTGTGTCTGTTGTGTATCTCTACAGTACCCTGAGTGGTTGTGTGTCTGTTGTGTGTCTCTACAGTACCCTGAGGGGTTGTGTGTCTGTTGTGTGTCTCTACAGTACCCTGAGTGGTTGTGTGTCGTGTCTGTTGTGTGTGTCTCTACAGTACCCTGAGTGGTTGTGTGTCTGTTGTGTGTCTCTACAGTACCCTGAGTGGTTGTGTGTCTGTTGTGTGTCTCTACAGTACCCTGAGTGGTTGTGTGTCTGTTGTGTGTCTCTACAGTACCCTGAGTGGTTGTGTGTCTGTTGTGTGTCTCTACAGTACCCTGAGTGGTTGTGTGTCTGTTGTGTGTCTCTACAGTACCCTGAGTGGTTGTGTGTCTGTTGTGTGTCTCTACAGTACCCTGAGTGGTTGTGTGTCTGTTGTGTGTCTCTACAGTACCCTGAGTGGTTGTGTGTCTGTTGTGTGTCTCTACAGTACCCTGAGTGGTTGTGTGTCTGTTGTGTGTCTCTACAGTACCCTGAGTGGTTGTGTGTCTGTTGTGTGTCTCTACAGTACCCTGAGGGGTTGTGTGTCTCTACAGTACCCTGAGTGGTTGTGTGTCTGTTGTGTGTCTCTACAGTACCCTGAGTGGTTGTGTGTCTGTTGTGTGTCTCTACAGTACCCTGAGTGGTTGTGTGTCTGTTGTGTGTCTCTACAGTACCCTGAGTGGTTGTGTGTCTGTTGTGTGTCTGTTGTGTGTCTGTTGTGTGTCTCTACAGTACCCTGAGTGGTTGTGTGTCTGTTGTGTGTCTCTACAGTACCCTAAGTGGTTGTGTGTCTGTTGTGTGTCTCTACAGTACCCTGAGTGGTTGTGTGTCTGTTGTGTGTCTCTACAGTACCCTGAGTGGTTGTGTGTCTGTTGTGTGTCTCTACAGTACCCTGAGGGGTTGTGTGTCTCTACAGTACCCTGAGTGGTTGTGTGTCTGTTGTGTGTCTCTACAGTACCCTGAGTGGTTGTGTGTCTGTTGTGTGTCTCTACAGTACCCTGAGTGGTTGTGTGTCTGTTGTGTGTCTCTACAGTACCCTGAGTGGTTGTGTGTCTCTACAGTACCCTGAGTGGTTGTGTGTCTGTTGTGTGTCTCTACAGTACCCTGAGTGGTTGTGTGTCTGTTGTGTGTCTCTACAGTACCCTGAGTGGTTGTGTGTCTGTTGTGTGTCTCTACAGTACCCTGAGTGGTTGTGTGTCTGTTGTGTGTCTCTACAGTACCCTGAGTGGTTGTGTGTCTGTTGTGTGTCTCTACAGTACCCTGAGGGGTTGTGTGTCTGTTGTGTGTCTCTACAGTACCCTGAGTGGTTGTGTGTCTAACAGTTGTGTGTCTCTACAGTACCCTGAGTGGTTGTGTGTCTAACAGTTGTGTGTCTCTACAGTACCCTGAGTGGTTGTGTGTCTGTTGTGTGTCTCTACAGTACCCTGAGGGGTTGTGTGTCTAACAGTTGTGTGTCTCTACAGTACCCTGAGTGGTTGTGTGTCTGTTGTGTGTCTCTACAGTACCCTGAGTGGTTGTGTGTCTGTTGTGTGTCTCTACAGTACCCTGAGTGGTTGTGTGTCTAACAGTTGTGTGTCTCTACAGTACCCTGAGTGGTTGTGTGTCTGTTGTGTGTCTCTACAGTACCCTGAGTGGTTGTGTGTCTGTTGTGTATCTCTACAGTACCCTGAGTGGTTGTGTGTCTGTTGTGTGTCTCTACAGTACCCTGAGGGGTTGTGTGTCTGTTGTGTGTCTCTACAGTACCCTGAGTGGTTGTGTGTCTGTTGTGTGTCTCTACAGTACCCTGAGTGGTTGTGTGTCTGTTGTGTGTCTCTACAGTACCCTGAGTGGTTGTGTGTCTGTTGTGTGTCTCTACAGTACCCTGAGTGGTTGTGTGTCTGTTGTGTGTCTCTACAGTACCCTGAGTGGTTGTGTGTCTGTTGTGTGTCTCTACAGTACCCTGAGTGGTTGTGTGTCTGTTGTGTGTCTCTACAGTACCCTGAGTGGTTGTGTGTCTGTTGTGTGTCTCTACAGTACCCTGAGTGGTTGTGTGTCTGTTGTGTGTCTCTACAGTACCCTGAGTGGTTGTGTGTCTGTTGTGTGTCTCTACAGTACCCTGAGTGGTTGTGTGTCTGTTGTGTGTCTCTACAGTACCCTGAGTGGTTGTGTGTCTGTTGTGTGTCTCTACAGTACCCTGAGGGGTTGTGTGTCTCTACAGTACCCTGAGTGGTTGTGTGTCTGTTGTGTGTCTCTACAGTACCCTGAGTGGTTGTGTGTCTGTTGTGTGTCTCTACAGTACCCTGAGTGGTTGTGTGTCTGTTGTGTGTCTCTACAGTACCCTGAGTGGTTGTGTGTCTGTTGTGTGTCTGTTGTGTGTCTCTACAGTACCCTGAGTGGTTGTGTGTCTGTTGTGTGTCTCTACAGTACCCTAAGTGGTTGTGTGTCTGTTGTGTGTCTCTACAGTACCCTGAGTGGTTGTGTGTCTGTTGTGTGTCTCTACAGTACCCTGAGTGGTTGTGTGTCTGTTGTGTGTCTCTACAGTACCCTGAGGGGTTGTGTGTCTCTACAGTACCCTGAGTGGTTGTGTGTCTGTTGTGTGTCTCTACAGTACCCTGAGTGGTTGTGTGTCTGTTGTGTGTCTCTACAGTACCCTGAGTGGTTGTGTGTCTCTACAGTACCCTGAGTGGTTGTGTGTCTGTTGTGTGTCTCTACAGTACCCTGAGTGGTTGTGTGTCTGTTGTGTGTCTCTACAGTACCCTGAGTGGTTGTGTGTCTGTTGTGTGTCTCTACAGTACCCTGAGTGGTTGTGTGTCTGTTGTGTGTCTCTACAGTACCCTGAGTGGTTGTGTGTCTGTTGTGTGTCTCTACAGTACCCTGAGGGGTTGTGTGTCTGTTGTGTGTCTCTACAGTACCCTGAGTGGTTGTGTGTCTAACAGTTGTGTGTCTCTACAGTACCCTGAGTGGTTGTGTGTCTAACAGTTGTGTGTCTCTACAGTACCCTGAGTGGTTGTGTGTCTGTTGTGTGTCTCTACAGTACCCTGAGGGGTTGTGTGTCTAACAGTTGTGTGTCTCTACAGTACCCTGAGTGGTTGTGTGTCTGTTGTGTGTCTCTACAGTACCCTGAGTGGTTGTGTGTCTGTTGTGTGTCTCTACAGTACCCTGAGTGGTTGTGTGTCTGTTGTGTGTCTCTACAGTACCCTGAGGGGTTGTGTGTCTGTTGTGTGTCTCTACAGTACCCTGAGGGGTTGTGTGTCTGTTGTGTGTCTCTACAGTACCCTGAGTAGTTGTGTGTCTGTTGTGTGTCTCTACAGTAGCCTGAGTGGTTGTGTGTCTGTTGTGTGTCTCTACAGTAGCCTGAGTGGTTGTGTGTCTGTTGTGTGTCTCTACAGTACCCTGAGTGGTTGTGTGTCTGTTGTGTGTCTCTACAGTACCCTGAGTGGTTGTGTGTCTAACAGTTGTGTGTCTCTACAGTACCCTGAGGGGTTGTGTGTCTGTTGTGTGTCTCTACAGTACCCTGAGGGGTTGTGTGTCTGTTGTGTGTCTCTACAGTACCCTGAGTGGTTGTGTGTCTGTTGTGTGTCTCTACAGTACCCTGAGTGGTTGTGTGTCTGTTGTGTGTCTCTACAGTACCCTGAGTGGTTGTGTGTCTGTTGTGTGTCTCTACAGTACCCTGAGTGGTTGTGTGTCTAACAGTTGTGTGTCTCTACAGTACCCTGAGTGGTTGTGTGTCTGTTGTGTGTCTCTACAGTACCCTGAGTGGCTGTGTGTCTGTTGTGTGTCTCTACAGTACCCTGAGTGGCTGTGTGTCTGTTGTGTGTCTCTACAGTACCCTGAGTGGTTGTGTGTCTGTTGTGTGTCTCTACAGTACCCTGAGTGGTTGTGTGTCTGTTGTGTGTCTCTACAGTACCCTGAGTGGTTGTGTGTCTGTTGTGTGTCTCTACAGTACCCTGAGTGGTTGTGTGTCTAACAGTTGTGTGTCTCTACAGTACCCTGAGTGGTTGTGTGTCTGTTGTGTGTCTCTACAGTACCCTGAGTGGTTGTGTGTCTAACAGTTGTGTGTCTCTACAGTACCCTGAGTGGTTGTGTGTCTGTTGTGTGTCTCTACAGTACCCTGAGTGGTTGTGTGTCTGTTGTGTGTCTCTACAGTACCCTGAGTGGTTGTGTGTCTGTTGTGTGTCTCTAACAGTACCCTGAGTGGTTGTGTGTCTGTTGTGTGTCTCTACAGTACCCTGAGTGGTTGTGTGTCTGTTGTGTGTCTCTACAGTACCCTGAGTGGTTATGTGTCTGTTGTGTGTCTCTACAGTACCCTGAGTGGTTGTGTGTCTGTTGTGTGTCTCTACAGTACCCTGAGTGGTTGTGTGTCTGTTGTGTGTCTCTACAGTACCCTGAGTGGCTGGAGGTGAACAAAGCCACCGTGAGCGCAGAGGATTTCAGTCGTTACGAGCAGCAGGCGAGGATCATGGGAGAAATCTGTGAACTGTTCGAGAAAGAGGAGGAAGCGGCGGGGGAGAAGGAGAGGACCTTCGAGACCATCATGGACCTGATGCAGAAGGTGGGAATTCAACCCTCACCCGCAGGGAAAGTGTCAGTCAGTCGATAGTTAGATGTAGAATAAGTAAGTAATAATAAGTATAATAAGGATTAATAATAAATGATACACTAACTAGCACTTAGTGAATCATTCTAATGTGGGGGAAGTGTCTTGCCAAAGGACACAACAACAGTTTAGTCGCAGCCGCCCCACTGTGGTACCTGGTGTTCCCAAAGGTCTCCCATCACTGTACTAACTAGGCCCTGTCCTGCTTAGCTTCAGAGGTCTGACAGGGTCAGGCTTTCACCTGCAGGGGGCGCCACACGTCACATCAATCCAAAAGAGTTACCTCAACATTTAAGATCAAGAAATCTGACTCATGATTTGAAGGAGGTCCAAGTCCTGCTGATCCAAGATGGCGGCGTGTTCGAGTCAGTGCCTGTGCTCAGCAGCGCAGGGACACAGGGACCATATTTGGGCATCGTCTGGTCCTCCCGGTTCTGTGCAGTGGACGAGCTCCCATGATGTGTGGCTCTCATGCACGTGCACAGAGGGGCTCGGCCGCGCTCTGACCAATCAGAGGGCAGCGCTCTGACCAATCAGAGCAGAGTTAGAGCGGGAGACGATAGAGCAGAGTTTGTGGCAGTAAAGCGTGGATTTAAAGAAAACCGAAGGATTTAAGAGGAAAAAAAATTCAGGATGACAAGGAACAGTAAAATCCTCCTTTATGAAAGCTATAGGTTCTCTGTCAGGTTCTCTGTCAGGTTCTCTGTCAGGTTCTCTGTCAGGTTCTCTGTCAGCTGAGGTCGAGCTGTTTTTTTTTACCTTGACTTCTATGGGGCTTTTTTCTGTGTAGCCCGCGTGAATCTAGTACCACAGCGCCCCCTGTGGCCATGGATGGGACAGCTATAAGCTAGTAATACTCTATCCAGTTATTATAGATCCATGGGTCTGACAAACTTTGGGTTTAACAAATATTTTTTTTTTTTAACAAGCATTAGCGCTTATGAACCGGTTGCTATGGTAACACTAGTCATAATAAATAACAATGAATCTGATTTCTTTCCTTTTGCTTCGTCCACAGCTGCAGGAGCTCGGTCAGCCGCCCAAAGAACTCGCCGGGGACGCGGTAAGTGTCCGTCACTACAGAGTAATAGAGTAAAAAGAGTAGTAAAGTATTACCTACAGCAGTCCTGGGGGTAACACCTTTGCGCCACACCCGCCGTCAATAACAATTGTCTTGTCTTGGATGTGAAAATAAATCCACTGATCGCTGACTTGCTCTGAGCGGCTCCTGTGTGTGTCAGAAGCTGTGACTCTCTTCTTCTTCTGTGTCTTTCTCCTTCAGCCTCCGGGTCTGAACTTCGACATGGACTCCCTGAACCTGCCTGGAGGACCAGCAGGGGGCGCCGATCAGTGCTCACTCATGTAACAGGCTTTGATTCTGGACCAAGATCAGAGAAACATCTAAGTCTTTCACTGAGACAGAAACAGACTGAGGTCACTGCGGCGGGAACGGAGCAGAGACCGACTCAGACACTACAGACTCAGACGGGCACTTTTACAACACGGTTTTAACTTTAACAGACGCTAACAGACGCTGCCAGATGCTAACGGGCGCTAACAGACGCTAACACTGTGATGCTAAACACCCACTAGTCTTACAACAGGAGTCTCCAGCCTGTAGCCCTCCGCCTCTGTCCAAGTGTCTCCCAAAGGATTCAGAAATGACTTTGATTTTTCCAAAGTCTAAGATCGTACCTTAGCTCAGGAGGATCTGGTCTTAGTAGAAATAAAAGTTCTTCTACATCAGACCATAGGAAGTTTAAAACGATTCATTTATTAAGTATTTACAATATTTACATTCCTCAGTTTATGGACACATTTAGTATCACAGTACACACACACACACACACAAATATATAAATATACAATCTAGCCGCTATATTTACCGTATTTTCACCTTGTGTTGGTGTATTTACAAGTTCAATGTGTATTTAAAAAATCTATTTCTATTGAAAATATGGCAAAACATGTCAAGTTAAAAACATGGTCATAACAAACGCTAACTTACTATTGTCTGGTGCAGCAGGAGCAAAAGCCTTTCTGTAAGACGCAGACTTAATGAGTGATAAATAATGACTGGATATTTATAGAAACCGTTTAATTGACCTTAAAAGTAGAAGTAGGACTAGTGTTTTTGTCTGAGGTGTTCTGTCTCTGAAGAGGTTGGAGACTCCTGTAACCCTGTCATTCGACCAATCACAGCTCGCAGAACTGAGGGGGCGTGGCTCTCTCTCTCTGCGCCAGTATCCAAGATGGCGGCTTTGGCGTGTTCAGACCTAGTTTTTCTTTTCACTGTGATCGGACGCGAGTTGAGGCTATAGTCTGTGGTTGACGTTGGGGGCGTGGCCTTGTCCGCACACACTTCCTGGTTTCTTTGATTGGTTCTTGAGCCGTCCAATCAGAGGCCCCCAAACACGGTTGCTGAATCGGATCCAGACCTTCACAATCTGAAGATAAGTTCTGGTCCTGGTTCTGTCTCTGCTCAGACTTTGGGCTAAGTTAATTTGTAAAGCGCAGTTTATACACAGCACAACTCAAAAAGCTGAACAAAACAAACTGCATTAAAAGAATCAAAGTACATTAAAAATAAATACGCAACACACTCACACCCGTCTCAAACCTGCAGGGGGCAAGTAACTAAGTACTTTTACTTAAGTACTGTACTTTATTGTCTTTCCCAGTTATCGGTATCAGTACCGGTATTTTACTTCACATCGACAATTATGAAAATAACTGTAAGAATAGTAGCTTTAAGTCGTTCTATTGATAAAAGTATCAGTGGAGGTTGGAGCTGAGTCACTGCAGGAAGTTTGTTATGAAGAATCTAAACGATCGCCGAGGGATTTACTTAGTTACTTAAATAAAATGCGATCAAACATGAGACACACTTAACTGAAGTAATCCCAATTCCTGTTTTAAAGAATAGCTCCCCGTGTGGACAGAGCGTGTAACTGCACTGTACCGAACATAAAGCAGTACAGACTTGTCGACGAGTGATGTCACACACAGGTGATCCCAAACAGCTCGATGCCTGGAGTTTAAGCAGTAACACCGTATCCAGATATTATAAAGGCTGGGAACTGGCAAAAATATGAGGATTTGATATTTTTGCGATATTCGGGCCACAATTCATAAATATCACAATTCTTTCCATATCGCGATACAGACAGTATCGTGATTCTGTGATATATTGTTCATGTTTATTAAGGCCTGTGCATGAACTGAAGCAAACACTGAGGAAGAGCAAAAACATTATAAATATCGCGATACTTTGTTCTACTGTATCGATTTTATTGTGTGTGAAAAATATCGCGATACTGAACAGAATCGTTTTCCCCCCGGTCTCGGCGCGTGTGAACAGGTCTGTCGTGTTTTCAAATGTTTAGGCTGATGTTTATTCTTGGCTTGGACTGGCGCTAGCTTAGCACTGCCTTCTTTAGCATTTACTGTTTTAGCTTCATTCGATCCCAGACTTAAAGGGGACATAGCACCGCCTCCAGGAGCACGCCACGTCCCCTTTAAACCAGAGAACGGTAACGAGAACTGTGCCTTTCAAGCCTCAGATTGACTTCACGGTCGTTGTGAAGACCTGAGCAGGTGCCAAATACTGCAGACTACAGATAGAACGGGTTTGTTTCATTTGGACTAAAACTAAAGCTTTTGGATTTGATTTTTGTGGATATTGAACTTTCAGAGAATTTGTGGCGTTTGCTTTGATAAAAAAAAATACGCTTAAATGTTTAATGACGTCTTCAAATTCAGACCGTTTGTTTTTACGACTCCGTGAAAGAATCTTGGAGAATAACATGATGGAATATTTACGAACAGTGATTTTTGCGTCTGTTCAAAAACGTATTCTATCGATGTCAAATGTGTTTAAATCTGAAGAATCTTGTTTTGCCCAAAATCACAAAATCTGTGGTTTATAAAGACCAGAAATAATGGAAGAATTTGCAAATAACTAAAGTGTGATTGTTTAGAGGCAAACGGAAGGACGATGTTCAAGTGCTGTGATAGTAACAACAAAACACACACAGGCAAATACACACACACACACACAGAGGCATATACACACACACACAGAGGCATATACGCACACACACACACACACACAGAGGCATATACACACACACACACACATAGGCATATACGCGCACACACATAGGCATATACGCACACACACAGGCACACACATAGGCATATACGCACATACACACACAGGCATATACGCATATACACACACACACACACAGGCACACACACAGGCACACACATAGGCATATACGCACATACACACACAGGCACACGCACACACACACACACACACACAGGTCGGAATAATCATCTTTGATAAATGTCCTCACAAATCCACAAAGACAAGAGGAAAAACAAACGTATCTTTTCTGTTCTCGACTCTACTTCCTGTGAACGTGAACCTGGAGAGAAGCAGAAACTTCTAAAACACTTTACACCTTTAACTAAATCTGCATGAGTGTCATAATAATAAAATATAATAATAATAATAATGAGGATATGTCCAGCCGTGGGAGAGCCCTGTTTACGTCTGTGTTTAGCCGCCTCCTGTCCTGTACATACAGAAGCTTTAGTCTCCAAACCTGTAAATATAATAATGTACATTTGTTGAATAATGACATCGTCGTCTAAAGTGAATGTGATTCACGCTGTAACAGAAATAAACATGATTTAAATCTGTGGCTTCTTTTCTCCTTTTGTGTTGGGGGGAAAAAACTGAGCACTAAATATTTCACCGTCATATTCTACTGAAAAACCATTTGAGATGCCACAAAATTATACTTCTGTTGATCACTTACTCAAATGTTATTCAGAAAAGCAAGACCAAGGTGTGGGAAGATCAGGGCACGGGTCAAGTGGAAGAAATGCCAAAGATATTGTAAGTATTAGAAGGCTCCTGTGTGGCCTCAGTCCTGGGTCTATACATCCTCAGTCCTGGATCTACAGCCTCAGTCCTGGGTCTACAGCCTCAGTCCTGGATCTACAGCCTCAGTCCTGGGTCTATACAGCCTCAGTCCTGGATCTACAACCTCAGTCCTGGGTCTATACCGCCTCAGTCTTCTGTTGTCTGGACCATAGACTGTAAATATGAAGTTTGGACTAGCTAACACTGACACCTGCTGGTTGGCGCGGGTATTTCTGCTCGAGATTTCGCGTGATGATTTTCCTTTAACCTCTTTCCAGTCATTTTGGCCGATCCACAGAAGTTGATCCAAATATCTTGAGACCGTGAAAACAAACGTGAGATTAGATTACAGCATGGAACAGTCATGATGTCGGATTAGTAAACTCTTATTTTCACAGATAGAGGAAGCCCCGCGTGAGCAGGGCATCAAAAAATTGGATAAAACTCTTATTGTTCCTCTCCACGGAAATCTTTAGTAAAAGGCGAAAGATTTATACGATCTGAAGAGAAACAAGAGTGTACTGAAGGACAGAGGCCAGAGAGAGGCAGGCTGTGCTGGGACACCACGGCCTCTGTCATGGTGCCGCTCACAGGCGCCACCCTTTACAGGGCAGGGTACTGCCCTGAAGAAGGCCGTGCGAGGCTGAAACGCGTTGGTTTACGCACATACACACACAGGCATATACGCACACACACAGGCACACACACAGGCATATACGCACACACACACACACACACACACAGGTCTGAATAATCATCTTTGATAAATGTCCTCACAAATCCACAAAGACGAGCGGAAAAACAAACGTATCTTTTCTGTTCTCGACTCTACTTCCTGTGAACGTGAACCTGGAGAGAAGCAGAAACTTCTAAAACACTTTACACCTTTAACTAAATCTGCATGAGTGTCATAATAATAATAATAATAATAATGAGGATATGTCCAGCCGTGGGAGAGCCCTGGTTACGTCTGTGTTTAGCCTCCTCCTGTCCTGTACATACAGAAGCTTTAGTCTCCAAACTTGTAAATATAATAATGTACATTTGTTGAATAATGACATCGTCGTCTAAAGTGAATGTGATTCACGCTGTAACAGAAATAAACATGATTTAAATCTGTGGCTTCTTTTCTCCTTTTGTGTTGGGGGGAAAAAACTGAGCACTAAATATTTCACCGTCATATTCTACTGAAAAACCATTTGAGATGCCACAAAATTATACTTCTGTTGATCACTTACTCAAATGTTATTCAGAAAAGCAAGACCAAGGTGTGGGAAGATCAGGGCACGGGTCAAGTGGAAGAAATGCCAAAGATATTGTAAGTAGGGCCGTCAAACGATTAATTTTTTTTAGTTGATTAATCGCATAGTAATGGTGAGTTAACTCACGATTAATCGCACTTTAAGCCTTCTATTTCAAATCCACTC